CTAACACGTGCTTACTTACTGTAGTTAAGGTCTTTAGGTTATCTTAGCTAAGAATATTTATTGCAGTAATATCTTAGCTATCTGTAGTTATAGTATATAACCTTAAATATATTATATAGTCTGCAATCTTAATTATTATATTAGGTAGCTCCTAAAGTTATAGGTCCTTTATATAATCTATATAAGGTATCACTTTAGTTACCTTTTTATTATTATTATTAGTTCTAAGAGTTACTTTAATTATTATTATTTTATTATTAGTTAGGGTAATAAGGGTTAAAGTTATTTCCCCTCTTATAGTTTACCCTCTCTTTTTTATATTTATACTGTTATTTATTAATCTTAATTACTATAGTAATATATATAATTAGGTCTTTAGGCCTATTAGCTAAATATAGTTTATCTTTAACTTCCTCCTTTAAGCTTTAGTAGTAAATCTCTATAAGTAAGTTATTATCCTATTAGGTTTTAGCAGCTAGCTATTAAAACTTTACTAAATAGGCTATATATAACTTATATTATTAAAGTATAAGTAATTTAGCTACTGCCTAATATTTTTTATTAATTACTTTAAAGTTATCTTTAAGTATTTATTTAAAATTTTCTTAATTTCTAAAGATATTTTAGGTATCTTAATCCTAAAGGTTCTCTTTATTCTTAAGGTAGTCCTTTATAATAGGTTTAAACCAGTCTTTAATATCTCTTTAAATTAATAATATAGTAAATAGTAGCTTCTTTATAGGGCTATCTAATTTATTTAAAAATAATTAAAAGTAACCTTTTATTTAAGTAAGGAATAGAATTATATTGCTTACCTATCTTTTAAATAGTTTTAACTTAGGCAGCTTAAGTGCTTCTCTAAGGTCTCTTTTACAGTATTTATAGTTACCTCCTTTATTATTTACAGCTAGTTATATATTTATCTATATCTATAAGGTATAGATAGTATTATAAAGCTATTAAACTTTAGCTGCTATTTTAATATTATTAGGTAGTACTTTAATATAAGGAGGTATTAAGGTGCTAGTATTACTAAATATCTTAATAGTATAATATTACTTAATATATATACAGTATATACTAAATAAGAGCTATTAATATATAATAGTTAGGGTTTTAAATAAAGAAATTAGTCTATATTAGGTTTATATTTATAAAAATATAAGGCATATATACTAAGCTTAGCTTAACTATTATATCTCTTAATAATTAAGTAATATATATTAGGCTTATTAATATAAAGAAGTCTTATTAATAGCTAGTAAGTTAAGTTCTATTTAATGCTAAATAAATATATATATATATTATAGGGGCTTATAATTAAATAAGTTAGGCTTACAGTAAGTTTATAAGTTAAGTTATAAGTCTGTTATAAGTTAGTAGGGCAGCTTACAGTAAGTTTCTTTTAGTATGGCATAAATTAGTCTATAATTAGTAAAAATTAGTAGGGCATACGTGATATAAGCGCTATATCCTGTTTGGTTATAATAATTAATAGGTATAGGGAAGGTTAGGTTAGGGAATGTATTTATAAGTTTATACTTAATTTCTTACTTAGTTAGGGTCTAACTGACCTTTAAGGAGAAGTGTAATAGACTTAGCCTATCTTTTGGGTATAGTAAAGGAAGAAGGCTAATATAGCTGCTAAGGGGTAATAGACCTGTAGGCAGTATTAATACTGCTTAATTAAGGCAGTAATTATGCCACTAGGCAGATAAACCTTATATAATTTTAACCTTTAAGATATAGGCCTACTATAGAGGCCTTATTATTTAAGCCTTTAGATAAAAAGTTAGAAGCTTAATAGCCTTATTAAGCTAATAGTAAGGAAAAAAAAAAAATTATTAAATATATTTTATAAAAATCTTTATTACTAACTAGACTTAATACTAATTTAATTATTATAATAATATTATAATTAATTATATAATAGCCTTAATTAAACTTTAAGCTTTTATATAGTATTATATTAATAGCTATAATTAATATTAATAAGTATAACTCATAGTTAGCTTAAGAAATACACTTAAGTATAATAAATTTAATTTAATATATAAAAACTTTTAATTTAAAATCTTTTAGGTAAGATAAAGTAAAGACTAATATAGCTACTTAAGGGTAGGTAGTATTAATACTGCTTAATTAAGGCAGTAATTATATTATTAAGGTAAGTAAACCTTATAAAACTCCAACTTTAGAGATACAGAAATTTATTACAGGCACGCTACAGAGCTTGGGAATGACCGGATTCAGTTGACTAGAGATGGCTGGGTAGCAACTATTAGAGGAAATACAGCCGAGGATGGAGGGGAACAAGACAACTCTATGATGTTGTAAGTTCATCACTTATTTATAATTAAGAGAAAGAAAAAGTGGAAAGTCGACAGACTAAATCAACTATAATAGAGTCTCCAGCGTGGTTGTTGTTTGAGTATAAAGCCCTTACCGTGTCCCAACTAGGCACGGATCATCGAGATAGGGTATATTGCGGTTTCAATTGATCATTCTTCTTCGGCTTCCTCCTTCACGACAGCGTCTTGTTTCTTCCGCAGCATCTTGTCGTCGATGAACTTATACACCTCGTCTGATCCTTCTTCTATTTTCTGAATTTGCACCATCGCTTTGGCTGTGATTGGATTGTCATGCTGTACCAAGAACTTGATATGTCCCGCCCAATGATCTTTGAGACAGCCGCGTCTGTCATATGGGTTGGCATCCTGCATCCAGCGGCACCAGAGACGTGCAACTGTTCGCACTCTTTCCAAGTCGACTTTAAACCACTCAATATGGGCTTTGCGATGATGCTCGCACCATCTCTGTGCATACCAGCATCCCACGAGCTCGAAGTGTGTTAACAGCTCGACACGTTCTGGATGTCGCACGCCGGAAAGAGAGTCGAGGAGTTTTGGATGACCATTGCCACATTCATTCCATTCAAGCAGTCGAGTTTCTATCTCCCGGCTGGTGTACCCTATCTTGATCATGCCATCGAAGGCATCGTCTGCATGGGTGTAAAAATACAAAGATCCAGTTTTTCTTGCCCGAGTATCAACAACTGATTGCAGTTTTGAGAGCAATGTTTCCTCTTCTAGAACCTGATGTTTGACGAACGCGATGTGAACTGACGTTTTCGAGTCCTCCGTCTTCACGCTTAGGTTTCTTCCGTGAGTCGTAAGACCTGAGGCGTTTCGTATCTCATTTTGCCATCGATTGGCCAATTCATGTGCTAGACCGCTTCCCCATATTTTATTACGGTGGTGGCGAGCGCAGCAACAATCCTCAGCAATTGCCGCCAAGTCTTGAAGCGTTGATGTCGCCGCGAGGCATGATTCCCAAACACCTTTCACCCGCTGAAGCGCTCTTTGGTTATCTTTTGGCGTGATCTTAACCAAACAGGATCTCTTTTTGTGAGGTAAATACCAAATACATTGAAATCGGCTGTTTGCCAAATATGAGGCGGTGTCCGTGAAAGATGGCAATTGGTGAACAGTAGGCATCGCTGACATTTTGCCTAGCCTGTGGACGCCACAATGTCGGTTTTCGACTCCGGAACTTTAGATCGCCGATCGTATGCACGAGTTCACGATCTGAAACAAAAGGCGTTAGCATTATGTCGCACAGGATCTTAATTAGTGCAGTCTTGGCTGACCTGGTAGAAATCCGCGGCGTTCAACGTAAAGAGGTTCTCGATTTGTGCTTGCATTTGTTGCTAGTTTAGTGTGAGGAGGACGTGAGGAGCACATATGAGGACTCCTTGTTTATAAAGAGGTGGCGGAGTTTGATGGCAAACACGCCAGGGAGTCATCGACTGGGCCGGTGGCCGAAACAACCAATCAGGTGCTTCTGCGTGGCACATCTAGCTTGGCGGCACAACCATCTTTCATTCGGTCACAGCCCAACGAGATGAGACGGGCGAGTCGCTTAAGCGCTGACACCAAGCTCAGCTCGATCTTCAGTTCAAGTCCATTTGGTGATCGACCCCACTTTGGACCAGCAATTGGGGCAAATTGGGTCGGGCCGGGCCTGGCGCGGCCCAGTAATGAGCTGCAACCCCAGCGACAGCGACATCTCCTGTGCCGCGCCAGCCCCCGTCGTTATGACCCCAATCACCCCAATCACGTCAATCGCCAGTAGCATACGCCGGTGCACTTTGTCGTGCACTTCGTATTGCACGTCATCAATGGCCTGCTGGCGATCCCTATCGCGAGATGTGGCGTGTAAGAGCCGTCCAGCCTGCGCCCGGCGCATCGAAGATATCCAAATGGGTTGATGCATTTCTGGCAACGTTGGCTGACAAAATAACACATCCTGTCGGCTTCATCCGCCTTGTCTGCTGCAGTACTCGTGTGAGGTAGGACATGAAGGTGCTGTTGTGGCTGCAGCCGGTCAAACAAGCCGCCAATGGGGCTTCAACAAGGGTTTTCCATCAGAACCAAAAACCGCACAATGAATCGACGCAGTTTTCTCTTTCTCCAGAAAGGAGAATCCATCAAAGGCTATTGTCTCTGAGCTTTAGAAGCTGGCTAAGGGCATCTGAACGATGGTATAATTGTGAGGGCAATGATTTCTGAACCAAACCATTATCTGACAATTCTCTTCCATTTTAGAAATTCTTTTCTATTTATGCCATACACTAATTAAGCTGTATTCGAAATTATAGCCACTGTAGGCTGAGTTTCGATATCTTAAAGCTATTTAAATATTGCGATTTAAGATGAAAATTAGAGTGTTGCACTTACTTGTTTGTTACACTTGCTTATCACGTACGTTATTGTTAATTTTGACTTTTAGTTAGCTACAACCCCTCCCTTGATTGACATTACGTTGATCACTGCCCTGCTCAGCGACATGTTCGCATAATAGCGACAACGTTCGGAAAAAGCCTGGTTTTGTGGCCAGGCAAGTAGGGTAGATTGGAGATTGGAATAGCTTAGAGAAGATAATGATGCATGTGCTTGGTGAATGGTTGTTTAAGAATCCCTTTTTTTATTTTCTTTTTTTCTTTTTGTGTTTTTTGTATACGGGGAGGTACAGGGGAAAATGAAAGACGGCTGAAGTTTCTTCACTTTGGCACAACTTCACGACAATTTCATTGATTGACCCAACGATGCATCACGTGGCTCGGGCATGGGTACCGCCAGCCCAAGACGAGAAGCCGGCCAAAGAACCCTGCTTCTATAAAGATCATTGATTCGATTATTTGCCTTTGGTTGCTGGGCTTTCAAATGGGCAAACGGTGAGAGGGGTAATCTCTGTTGACCAATACATGGACAGCATTGGTCACACAAGATTGTTCACAAATATGCGGTCACCTGTGGGAGGCCAACCATTGTGATGGCCTGACGAGGCATTTTGGGTGTCTATTGTTTTCACCTGCGGCCCGCCAAATCATCATTTAAGACGTAGCTCACGACCTAAGCCTCGAGCTGTACTCTCAATCCCCATTTCAACCAACGCTGCCTCAACTATTCAACTCTCAATCCCAACATGGATATCAAAGATGTCTCAAACGAGAGTAAGTACATCGGCTATCTGAAGCAACTTCAGGGCGCTGCAGAGCGAGCAGCCCGAAGAAAGGGCCAAGCCGTGCGAGATCACCCCCCTTCTCAACAACTCGTCTCGTCCTTCTTGATGAAACTCATGGCCGCCTCATATGGCCCTCGGTCGGACGAAAACACAATCGCTACCACGCAGGTCCCAGCGCCTTACCCACCTTGCATTGATTCCGTCAACGACCTGGAACCCATCATGATCTCCGACATGAGACTCGAAACCCATCATCGAGGGAAGAAGATCATGCTGCGCGTCCTCACGCCCCCGGACCGCATGACGGCTGTGATGGCCATTGTGGAGGATGAGAAGGGAATCGCTGTGTTGCTCCAGCTCTATCACCAACCTGAAGAGACCATCGTCCCTACCACTGAGATCCTCAACCCAAACATGGTCTGCATCCTCAAAGAGCCCTTCTTCAAATGTGCCACGGACGGTACATACTCGCTCAGAGTCGATCACCCTAGCGATATGATTTGGCTGGACGGAGCTGACGATCGCATTCCCTCGCACTGGAGGCCATCGACGGTGATTTCAGGCGAGAACAGTACAGACCTTCGAAAGCAAGGAAACGACGCTGTACAGGCCAAGAAATGGGCTGAAGCACTGCGACTGTATGTTTCTCATCTCGGCTTGTCTGACTCTGACGATTAGGCCAAGCAGTTGGTCAGCCGAGAGCACATAACTGACAGCCATCTAGGTACTCTGCAGCTATTCGAGCTGGTCGAAATTCTGACGAGAGACAGCTCGCTTTCCTCAACCGCTCACTTGTAAACCTGAACATGGACCGACCGAAGCAGGCCTTGTTGGATGCCGAGAAAGCCACCAATCCTGCGATGCCATCCGAAAAATCTCTCTTCCGCAAGGCTCGAGCATTGTATGAGCTCGGTGACTATCAGCAGAGTCTCGAGGTGCTGGAAAAACTGACACAGTCGTTCCCTGAAAACAAGGCAGCCAGCTCCGAGAAAGATCGGCTCCACGAGCGGCTTAACGAACAGCAAACAGGCGAGTACAAATTCAAGCAAATGTACAAGCAGGCAGAAAAAACACCCCCCTTCATCGACTGTGCCACTTTCTCAGCTCCAGTAGAGATTCGCGAGTCACCAGGCCGGGGCAAAGGGCTCTTCACCACCAAGGCGGTCTCAGCGGGGGAGCTTCTGCTCTGCGAAAAGGCATTCTCCTACAGCTTTGCCGGGGATGAGCAATCCACAAAGCAGACCAAAATGCTGATGAATCTTGCAACCAAGAGGATAGTAATGGGTGGCCAAGCACGTCTCTTGAGCCTGATTGTGCAGAAACTGTACCATAACTCGTCGTTATCCGCCGAGTTTGGAGACCTCCACCACGCCGATTACCAAAAGGCTACGGTCTTGGAGACTGACGGAACCCCAGTAGTCGATTCGTAAGTTGTCTTCTGCCACTTTGGCTGGTAAACCATTTGAGCCAGGCAGCTAACCGAGACTCAGTTTCCTGGTCGAAAAGATTAACTCCCTGAACTGTTTTGGTGCTCCGAGGACGAGCCGCGAGTCATTCCTCAAGGCAACATCCAGCAGCAGAGATATGACGGGTGACGAAGACTTCAAGTACACAACCTCGGGCATTTGGCTCCTCGCTTCTCGTATCAACCATTCCTGTGTGGGCAACTGTCGACGCTCCTTCATCGGAGACATGCAAATCGTGCGCGCGACGAGCGATCTCCCTGCTGGCACTGAACTCTTTTTCTGCTATCGCCTTCCTGTGCCCTTCGAATCTTACCAAGAGACCCAAAAGGGCTTGAATCACTGGGGGTTCACGTGCGACTGCGGGCTGTGTTTGTCTAAGAAAGCCACGTCTGGTTCCATCCTCCAGAGACGCAAGGTGCTTGCCGACGACCTCCGGAGGCTTCTTGATCACCCTGGCTCCGGCAACGAAGCCAAAGCAAGTCGGCTCTTGAAGGCTCTCGAGAAAACCTACCCGACAAACAACGACTGCGCGATTCGGCTAGAACTCTGGGGACCCTACTTCGCCTTCGGCGCCCACCTGTTGAAGAATAGCCAGCTAAATCTTGCGGCCAAGATGATCCTCAAAGGCCTCAAGGCTCTGGGATACAGCATCATTGCATGTCCGCCCAGTAACATTACGGATCGGCCGCGACTCGAAGTTGAACGGTGGGGGGTGGCGAATGACGCTGTGCCATGGGCATTCAACAACCTGGCGAATGTGTATGACCAACTTGCTCCTCAACTATGCTCGGCAGCAGAGCATTACGCTGAATTGTCTTATACCATGGTCGTGGGCGAGAAGGAAACATGGCCCGAGATGTTTTCGAGTTCTTCGTGATGGATTTAAATGCTTATTCAATTGGCTGATAAGATTTATGCTACTCTTCATAATTAATACCGACATCTAGAATCATCTTTTCCTCGGCCCGACCATCTTCCTCAGTCGTACCAAGCCGTCGAGCCTCTGGCTGGCCATTGTCCTCCATAATCTTCTCCATGCGACAAGCTACCTGTGTGGCCTCGTAACCAAGGCTGCCGTGACTATCATCAGACCCAAGCTCTTGAAACCGCCTCAGCCAAAAACCGCCATCTGTCCATGCAAAGTCCAGATTGTCCTCCGGTTCCAATGTATATTGGACCCGGTGCCAACGCTACCAGCCCCCCCCCCCTTCATCGAGGGTATCAGCCTTGCGAGCGTCCTTGAAGAGCTTGACACCGCCTGCGAGGATCCAGTTGTTGGCAGTCCTAAGCTTAAAGTCTCGCGTTGGCCCGGATGGGGGGATCTCTTTCTCTAGAGCCTTTGGAATCTCGATAATGGCATAAAGTGAGAAATCCACGAGGCCATTGTTCGTGATTCGACCCGTAAAAGTATTCAGACTGACCCAGGCAGACGCATCCTCTATTTTGGCTGTGTCCTTTCCAAAATCTTGCATTGGGTCTGTCAAACCATTGGTTAGCTTGGAAATATGAACAGAGTAATAAGAAAGGGGTGGAAGACTCAGAGTAACGAACTAGACAAGGCTTCACGTATGCAAGAAGAGGGCAACGGTAAGTCTCTCCAGAAACAGTTCAGCATCACCCACTTCTCACCGGAAATCTGTTCAAGCTTCACCTGCATGGCCTTTGGGCCTCCACTCACATGCCGAAGCAAGCTGGGTGAACTGAAAGCCAGCTATGGGATTCAGTGGCTGAAATACATCGGAGCCCAAAGTTGAGAAGTAGCGTTACTAAGCCGGCCCATCAGTCTTGTCTAATACCAGCGCCTAGAAGTCTTGAGAAGCATGCGCTATTCACACAGCTCGATGAAGTATCGATATACTGTAGTGCCATCAAGAGATTATAGGGGCTTTGTACTATCTTAATTAATATTATGAAAGATATTTCTGCTTATATCCTATTAAAAAGGGGTCTTCTAGATTAAAAGATGAAGATTATATAATACTTTAACATTGAAAAATATAACGTTAAATCAAAACAAGAGGTTACTAATCATCCTCTATAGTACTCGTTACACATTGAGTAAGTTTTCTCCCATTCTTGAAACCACGGAATGATCTGGTCGTCTGCATAGTCCCACGTTTCTGGCAGTTGGTACCCGGCAGGGATACGGACGCGATAGTTCCCTGGGGCCATATGGTAGAACCCTTGTGGCTGCTCCTCAGGATCCAACTTGGCTATCTCGACATAAGTCCAACGGTCTAATCGGTCACGCAAGAATCTTTCCCAGTCTTTGCAGCCATGACCGACTTCGCCATTTGCGTATGCATAACGAAGTGAATGGGAAACAGGCCCAGGCTGCATCGTAACACATAAGCGCCGACCAGTATCCGTCGACTTCCATATCAAAGAATAGACGCTCCCCTCGAGGACGTAGTCAGGAGTGTAGTCTCCTGGCGGTTCATTTCCAAGTTTTATAACTAGAGAGCTTGGTCCGCCAATTTGACGACATTCCTTGCGAGAAATGAGTTGAGTTGTCAAATCAGGCCAAAGCATGTCCCTTGTCGTCCAACCTCGTTTGGCCCGTTCGCGAAGTGATTTGCCAAGGGCATCGTCGAAGGGTTTGATAGGGTAGAACTTGTGAGATACCACGGTTGGAATCGGAAGTAGACAGTAGGCTTTATTCCAGGATATAACATTCAAACCAGCTGTCGTAAGAGCCTTGTTGATGATTTCAACGATGGGAGAGTCGGGCGTAGCCATGATGACAATATATGTGTCTGGGTTACTGTCACGACAGAATAACTTTTGTTCCGAATAAGCTCTGTATCCTTCATGATCAAGTAGATACTGGATAAAACCCTGACACTTGGATCCACGTTCAATATATAGAAGCAGCGAGCTGACTTCCCAACGATGAAATTCAAAGAAGTTGCGGACGAAGTCTCCTGCAATGAGCCCGTCGTGCTTGCCAAGCTCCTCCCGGAAGCGCATCGGGTCGTTGACAAAAGGCTGCAATTCCCTCGTGATATTGAGCAAGCATGGCGACTCCGTCATGTAATCCACTAACCAGCGCAGAGATCGGCTCGATGCGTGTAATGCGTATATATCTGCGATGCCTAGATGTACAAGAATTGAGTCTACTATGGTCAAGTTTGGGCTCTGTGACTTATCACTTAATAAGTCGATAAGCTTCGAGGCAGATCTTGCGAAGGAGGCCATGATACTTGGTTGTGCGTGGGTTTGTATTTGGATGTTGAAGTATTTCAGAATGTTTGCAATGGCGGGGTAATAAGCCGTCAGCATAATTATTGTTCCGTTTACTGCGTTGGGGGCGAATAGATAATGATCCAGGTTATGTAAGCTTCTTCCGATGCATATTGCCTTCCATACTCAGATAAATGTGGTCGATGACGAACAAAACGTCGGAACCGTGCGGTTAACATTTGGGCGCTCATGAGTCGTTCAATGATGACGCGCAGCGTTTGCACGCGATATGTAACGCCGTGTACTTAGGGCAAGGGGATTGAGGCGGGGGATGTTGAAGCTGCCCAGAAACTACGCCTCTGCAGTGTGGTCACAGGAGCGGCTTAAGGCCCGGGGGCGCTGAATGATATTTTTGTAAGCAGAGTTGTGATAAACTCCACCTCCTCGAGACCAACTCCAGATTATTGTCATCGGGGGGTAATTGTAACATGTACTTATTCCGCAATGCCAACAATACGGGTTCTGTCTAAGCGTAATTGCACAGAAAGTAATACATTGAGTTGCGGAGTGGCAATCTACCGAAACACCGTAGGTTGGGACAAAGACAGGCAGCAATGCATCTTACAAGCGGTATCTCAAGATGAGTTTGGCTGTCGCTCTGTGGGTTCAGGGTAGCTCCTCAAGTGGAGCGCCGATCTTAAGATGCCAGCCCTGCTCTAGGAACGCGGGGCAATTTATTCCTGCCAAGAGCTCAGTTCTAAGTTAGGCAATTTTCACCACACCGCCCTCAAAAAAAGGCCCCGCTGCGTTCGCGATTCGAACCATGACCTTCGACACATTTCATAGGAATCCTCCACACCAGAATCGCTGTCCTTGATGCATCACAGGATATCATCTTCAATCGAGTGCAAAACATCGCACTACGTGTCCAGTTGCGTTCAAATAAGAGGTAAATAAATGCCTGCTCAAAGAGACCCATATGCTCTCTGTAACATTATGCTCCTCACCATCTCATTATTTCGAAACAACTGCTGCTGAATAACCCCTAGAACTCCGTAAGACTCAACCAAGTCTCAGTAAATGCTGGGTATCATGATCATACAACCCAAGTCCCTGCCAACGCCATCATATCGTAAAAAAGCCCCCATAACCTATTCAGCTCCCTCACCTGGTTCCAGAAAGTCATTAATTGCCCGCAGGAAGTCATTCACCTGCTCAACCGACCTAGCCCGCAACATCTCCCAGTTCACGCGCTGCAGACGCTGCAAGCATATCGCCGCGCCCAAGTCCTTCTCCACATTAGAAATATCGTCCACACAACCCGCAATGGCATCATTCATCAGCCCAACTTCATGCTGGAGCCCTAGCTCCTTGTCCGCGTGGTCATCTACACTCTTTTGAGCCGCTGCCAAGTCAATCTCTGCTTGTTCGGTTTCGCGGTTCGCCTCGTCTGATGTCTGTTTGGCTTGGGGGATGCTGTCTCGAACTGAGGATGGGAGAATGTGTCCGTGCTGGGCAACCAGCGCCTCGAGCTCGGTAAGTGCGTTCGCGGACTCTTGAGATTTTGCCCTGGCGACATCGCGGCTTGAGATTGCTTTTTGGAGAGCCTCGTTCAGAGTATCCGCTTGGTTGATGAGGGCCTGTGCCGCGTCGCGTTTGTTTTCGAAGAGCTGGAGGCGCTCTCGGTGTGCAGCGATTCGCTTGTGGTATTCATCGATCGGTAGCTATTGAGGGTTAGATTGAGCTGCTCAGAGCGGGCTAGTCGTAGGAGTACTTACGGGGCCTTTGGCTTCAGCGCTGGGAGAGACGATGCCTCGGGAATCGTCTGCGTCTTCTTCGTCCTCTGCATCCTCTGTGCGTATAGCCTGGGGCTCATGTTCGGTCTCAGAGTTCTTGCGACGTCTTTTACAAGGTCGGCCCTTAGATGGCGATGAGGCCATGTGCGCATCGCCATTAGGGTCTGCGACTTCATCCTCTCCGTTTGGCGGTGCACATCCCTGCGACTTGCCCGTAATCTCCAATCTGATCCTGGTGACAATACTGTTGGTGACTACACCCTTGGCAGTCTGGTCCCGGGTCGCCTCATCCTTAAGACGAGCTACCAACTGTTCCACTGTAATACCGGCTGTCCCACTCCTGGCCAGCTCGATGATGGTGGCGAGCTGCTCAATCAGGCTCTGTGCCCAGCTTGCAGGAGAATGCTGGCCCAAGAGCGACGAGGGGTCAACACCGGCTGCTAGATGAATTCGGTTCTTTGCCCGTTGGACTCGTTCTATATGAGTCTTGTTCTTGTTTTTTGTTGACTGCGGGGGAGTTGGTACGGCGTTGATTGTGTCGGCCATGGTTGGTAAGGTATCCTTATACTATCGTCGAGATACTCATTTCATCTTTAGCGCGTACGCGACTCAGATCGCGTTGCAGGGGTGACGCGACGTGGATGCGATTACATAATGCTGCCACCTCTTCCGATTGGCCATGTTACGTTGGCACCAGCCCGGTACCTGCGTTAGGTCGCAGCCTCAAAGCCCCCACCATCTCGATCAATTTAGACATATTACGTAGCAACTTTCAGAGACGCCGTAACCTTTTGAAATCGCGTCAACCACAGATCCCCAGCTCGGTCTCGTGCGTGAAATCCTTCCGAACAAGGCTGAGGATGACACAGAGGGTCGGTACATACAATGTCTTGCAATACGAGATAAGCTCCTGCGTAATACAACAACCCAAGCACGAGGTTTAAGAGCATGGCACAGACTCATGCAGCAGGAGAACATCAAGTACCATGACTTGATGCAGCACGTAACCTTCGGTCGAGCGTGTAACGATAATAACGACCAGTAAGAGTTCCAGGCTTGGTGTGACTGGAACGCAAAGATGGTAGCTGGGCGTGATAACCCCCGTAAGCCACTGCCAGCGGACCGCCACCAGCAATGGGCGCAACCCGTTTTGAACGAGGCCAGAACGTGTCTTAACAGTCAAAAACCTCATGCACCTGGAGTCTTGTCTACCTGGCGACAGTACCACGCTGAAGAGATTGCGGCTTTCTTAAGGTTCAGGTCTCCACCGAATAAACACAACGCCGTTGGACTTTACTACTGTGGCTCCTCCCAAGAGGCCGCTAACTCGATCGACTCTGGGGCCCTACTCGTCATCGATCAACAGCAACCGTTCCCATGGAACGGCCCGCCCCTAAACGACTGTTTCCAACGTCTCTCAGATCTAGAGTGTCTCCGACGCCTCTAACCTCGCAGTCTCACTCGCAATGGCCCAATCAACACGCGTTTCCTCAAAGGGCCAATGAGAGACCCTCATTGGGTCAGCATCCCGACACGCCCAAGAGCGGTCAATTCCAACAACAGCCAAGCCACACGCAAATCGCCCTTCTTTCTCAAAACCCTGCAGCGGATTCAGAACAAGCTGATCAATAGAACACACAGGAATGATGATAAGTACAACGTGCTCACCATGGTTCAATGGGTACCTGTTTTCAAACCTCCCTCTTCTTAACACCCCGAAGTCCGACATTCTCCACCGCATCGACGCCCTTGAGCTTACTGTAGCGCTACCTAAGACTGTTCTAAGTGGCCGAACCTTAAGTTCATGCTGCTTAGTGAAGGCGGCAGTCACAAAGCGTCCCATGTTGACGATTTTGCTCCAGGTATTTTTCACTTGCCAGTTCCTGTCGGGATTGACTGGACCCCGCTTCGCTGGCAGGACCGGCTAAAGTGGGAACGCGACGCAATGCGATTTAATAGCCAAGCACGCTACCTGATGATTCAACCCGAGCAGACGGTATATATGCTCCCGGATACAATCCACTTCATCTTTCGCAAGATGAGTAAACCAACCTCCCTTACAGGTAGGAGGTACTTACCTAGGCTGGGCCGAGGCGATGGCTATGCCTATTAAAATACTAAGAGCTCAGTGAGACAGAGTCGGAAGTCACTGCAAATAAGGCGGGGAACTGGGTCGCGTGTCTTGTCGAGGTTGTGAAACAGCGTCGATAGACAAAAGACTGGGGTGAGATGCCTGGCGGGCGGGAAGAGCTTGAGCTTGTAATGAATACACTCGAGGTTGGTTCTACAATCACACCGGCCATACGACGGGGAATTTTCTAATGCAGACTGAGCAGAGATGGAATGAATTTATGACAGTTGATGTCTTTTTTGCATTTCAGGGCTGGGACCTGAACGTTTTCTAATGAAGCATTGCATCTGCACCTTGTAATGATTGGGATACCCATCAGACGGGGCGTACAAAATTGGCGAACTTGACACTAGGTTCTCTTGGCCGGATTAAGCTCTCAACCACAAGTCTCAGCGGCAGATAACGCTTCAAGCTCACAACTTAGATATCGCTACGTGATGCCGCTGCCGTCGACGAAGCAGGGGTCCGATGCTTGATAATATTCAAAGACGGCTTTACAGAGGCCTAAGCTGAAACTCTGCGAGACAGAACAGGAGTATAAGGAGACCAAGCAATCGCTACATGACTGTTATAGAATCATCCAAGCGGTCTTGGAGAACAGGTTGCAAAGCATGGACGGATGGTGATTATCACAGAACGTTTGGAATTGAATTCCTAGGTAAGATGTACTGAACATCTTCTTACATTGAGAATAGTCACTACCTTCTTTATCGTATATCAACCAGCCAGATAATAAACCTCAGCCATCAGATAGATACATCTCCAAGCTTAGCTGAGAAAACCGCCACAATCCCTAAATCCAGAGCTTTAATGTACTCTAGCTCTATAAAAGTAGCTGTCCTTGTTGGAATACCCAGCTTAACTGCCCTTTTCGGCAATTGGTGGGAGTTCCACGGCACTTTTGTGCAACACAAGTGACTAAACCATGTAACTAGCTTCCATGGAAGGGCGCCATTTTGTACTGTCTCGAGAGTCTGACGATGAGACATTGAGGAATCTGAACGCTGCACCCCTGAAAGCATCACCAATCAAGCCTTTCCGTCAGTGAAGCCTTGAGATACTTGAAGCAACATTCTCTCCTCAGCAACTCCGGCCTTTCCTTGAGTTCACAACAACTGGCCTGGAAATTTCCAAGGGCGATATGTCTGCAGCCAATACCGTCGTCAAAAGGCTCTCAACTCCAGTGAAGTGAAGGTAGCATTTTGCAATCGGTCACACGAGAGGCCGTTGATTCAAATGAGGTGCCAGCGCAGTGACCTTCAACATGAAGTGGGCTTCAGATGCAACAGACTAAAGACGTAATCAAAAACTTCATTATGACTACTAGGGACAAAGAAGAGTGGCAAGGCCAAACGGTGCTGGGTAGACATAGCCAACGCCCTATTTACTAGTTAGGACAAGGACGGCGAAAGTAGAAACTAGGTACGGCGGAAATATGACGCCATCCACTAGTATTACTCCCCTGGGAGTGTTATAGAGGTCTAGGGAAGCTGTTACCAAGTAGTTTTGGCCCCTGGCCCAGAGTCCCAAAACTCGGAACCACGAGAGAGTAAATCCCGCGGCAAGGTTTACACGTATTCTACACCGCATTCGAGAGAATCTATGCAACGCGCGTCGGTAGAAGAACCGCGGCAGTGTTCCATTGCATGATAATGCCAGCAAGAATAAGTCGCTGTCTAGTTGATAGTAATAATTCCAGACCCATTCGTCGCTTGTATCAATGTAAGGTTCCCCGTGATATGAGCTTGTTCCGTGCTAGACAAAGCACTCCCAATAAAAACGACCTCCACAGCGACAAAGCTGTAAATATGAAGTCAGTATACCTGTTAGCATTTTTGGAAAAGTCGTTGAACTTACGTTGCAGTAGCTACAAGTATTTCCACTCTTTTCGCCTTGCTGAAATACGCCAGGATACCAGCAAAAATGGCCGTAAACAAAACCGTGAAACCAATCCTCTGGTTAGTTGTTGGGCGTCCATTGAGTACCAAGATAGTGAGAGGAGGCAAGATAGCAGCTATCACAGTAACAATGATGCTGGTGAGCCGTATTATGCGGGCATCTTGGTACGTCACATAGCCACTTTCTTCGTCAATAACCTGGCCCACCTTCATCCTCCGGCCAAATGCAAGATGAAATGGCCCCGCGATAAATCTCATCAAACCCCTTGTGAACAAATCGTCGTCCTCAGCTGCGGGTTGCAAAGTCATATAGAGATCAGGATTATCTGATCCATCTCCAGTCCACGTATTGATCTCTGCTCCTGTTTGGAAGTTCTTCCCTCCCTTATCCATCGCTAACCAATTTCTCAAACTCTGTAACTGAGACTTTTTGGGACTCGGGAGTTGACTGATTGCAGAATCTGAGAAGGATCTTAGCAGGCGAAAACGCATAAACTACCAAGACATACACTGCGCAAGGAATTTATCTAGCGACAGTTATTAGCATTGCTATATATGCAAATAGATTATGCAACATACTATACCGCATTAGCTTTTCCCTCAGTTGACATAATTTCTGATGCTGGTCACTGTTATTCTGTTGGCTATCATAGAAGCTTTCTCCATTCTTCCGTTCTTCTTCCGTTCCAATCTCATCAAGAGAGTTTTCCAAGTAAAAGTCACTCTGTAGCTGGAGGATCTCTGCTTGCAGTGAAAGCAAGCATAGGATATTTGCATCGTCAAATCGACGAAAGATGGCCAGATTCTTGTCACCTTTCATCATATGTGCTAGTCGCACATACATCGATGGAGGCTGGCGACTCATGTTGTCATTGGTGGCTGAATCCAGTAATTGTGTAAGGAGAGTATTCAAATGAGGGACGATGCGTGGGTAAGAAGTAATTTCAGGCAGCCTGCTTTTCAGCCCCAAGCGGATTGTAAGCGCCTATTTAGCAATGCTCACTGTTCGGTAGTTCGTTAGTGTGAGACTGTTTAATCCTTATTGGGCAGACACTGGCGCTACTGTCTCGGCTTGCAGCTGTTGTGAAATCAGGCTGCGAGATATGCACAGGTATTCGTCACAATAAGCCACCTTGAAAATGCCTTACCAACACGTGGGCCAATCATAAACTGGTATTTCATCGCTACAACAGAAAGATTCAGAGGTATCCCTGTTGAGAAAGTTGCTAATTATAGCTCCTGTCAAGGAATATAATGCCTTGGTGGCTCTCAACACTTTTACCTAACTTTTATCCGCATTTTTCTAATCCCTACTCCGCAGAACTATTATTATTTCCTGCTGTGACCCTAGATAAAAAAAGGCATGTCGTCCTCTTTTTCTACAAAGTCATTTCTCCGGGATGCTTCTCTGGTAATTGGCTGCATTATTGAACTAATTCTTATTTTGGTTTTTATCAAATGGGTGAAAAGAGTCCGGGCCCTTGGGTTTCAGTTGACACTTTATATGCAAGAAGTTGATTTACTCGACAATATGCTCAGAGAAAACGAAGAAGTCATTGCTCATCTGGGCCATGAGCCTCCTATCTCTGTTCAAAAGGCGCATCAGCTTTGTCAATTTCACCAGATTATGTTAAACAGGAACCTCGAAAGGAATGGCCTCGAGCGCGGCTGTGATACCGCAGGTTTCCCAATTGAAAACAGGTTCAGGCTGGTATGGCATAAAGATGAATGGGAGAAAGTACTCAGACTCTTTAGAGGGTCGGTTTTTAGCCTGAGAGACCTTTGTGCCGAGTAAGTTTATATACTAGTTCATTTCATTTAACTAATCTCAAGGACCACAGTATCAGGATGCATACACAGTTACGAAACATGACGTAAGAGCTCGTCTGTTCCACTTTATTTTTGAGCAGTGCTGACTGTTATCTACCAGAGCGGCTATGTCTCGACTAGACCAGGAATTTGCAGGTGCTCCCTCGGCAAAGGATTTAGTTGACCTTCAAGGAGACGACTTTTTTGTTATTGCATACATACAAGCACACAATCTGTCAGATTATCCACATCTTCCCCGCCACCGCAGAGCTGTACCAGCAACTCTGAAGCTAGATACTGGCGCAAGTATTGACCATGTTTCTGAAAGCTTTTTATTGGATGTACTGAGCCTAAAGAAACAATGCTTTCTTCCTATCCCAGAACATGAACAGGAACCAGTTACAGGGTTTGATGGGACTCAGTTTACACCAAGGTATCGTATAGAGCTTCAGTGGTCACGAGAGCTGAACAAGGGGATGAGGAGTCATATGTTCTTAGTTGTCCCAAATTGTCCTTGCGACGTGGTTTTGGGAGCACGAAATTTCCTTCAGCAAGCTACTGGCCTTACCAGAAGAATCCAAATTGCTGCAGGCAGACGTAAGTGTCAAGAATGAAAGATACTGGACATAAAGCAACGGCTTGCTGACTGCGTTGGTAGGATTAAATGAGTCAGAACAACAGCGTCGGGATGAAGTCATTAATGCAGAGCGGGAAAGAGAGCGTGCCAGGTTTGAAGCAGCAAAGGCAAAGCGTGCACAGAGATCATGGACTAGGCGATCATCGACATCTCGTGAGGAGGATTTAGAGATGCAACCGCAGGGTGGGCCAAGCTCGGCTTCTGCAGAGGGAAATCTTGTAGATACTTCTTAGAGACGGCGAAGATAACCGGGTTATGTAGAAATCTGGAGACAGAGATTCTGTCTTACGAAAGCGAGACTTTCAACGCCACAGTCCCTGTAAAGTCATCTGCAGCCAATGTTCGGTCCTTGGATCTTGAATGGACAAGCTGAGACGAAACCCCTTGATTGTCTCAAGTCAAAAATGGTTCAGAGGGTCTGCTGAAGTTTGAGTATTCAGATCTTGAGATTGATACGATTCTATCTCCCTATACCACAGTAAAAACTATCACCAGACGAACCCGAGGGGTTAAAGATGAATCAACGAGCTGAAAATACCATTAGATAGCGGTTCTGCTGCATCTTGATAGTGGAATTTTGAGCAAAAGCGAACTGGTGCTTTCCTTTCGATTCGGCAACTAACCAGCCCGCCTTGTGGAAGAGCTATTTCATTGGCATGTTGGCAATCAACTACCCAAGGGAGCTCCCAGGACCTGGATACCGTACATAATAAGTCAAAACGTGTATCCTGGAAAGCATCAACTCAAGATGACTACGACTCACACATATTCTGATTTCCATTCCTTCGGCTATGGCGGCGTAAACGATCGGGGTCCCAATGGGACAATCTCTTTGATGCTCGCTCAGGATATCCATACACCTCTACGGTTCAGGTTGAAGGCGGCGCAGAAATTACCTACATTTACAACAAATTTCATTTGATTTCTTCCCGCCGACTGCAAGGCACAAAATCTGTTATGCAGACAACGGAGTATCACGCACTAGAGGAGGAGTTGTTTGAGAATCGACCTGCCCAGTGTCAGCCTCCAAAAGCGGTGGACATAATCTAGCAGATTCAGCGACAAAGGGCGCGTTGACGATAGAGAAGACTCTATTGTTTTGACGTTTCGCCGACTGAGATCAGAGAGAAAGATGAGGCCAAGACGATTTGAGAGTATTACCCTAAGGACAGCGAGATTAGGTTTTGCCCAGCTGATCAACAGCCGATTCAGGCACTATCTGAAACGGATACCATGCAGGCCAGTAGTAGATGATTTGTCAAAAGGCAAGGGATTTCGTTACGCACATTTGAATACGCCCCAAGATAGAAGAGGAGACAATTACTTCATTGTTGTCTGTCAGGAGGCATCCCTAAAGGTAGTCAAATGCTTTCGCGTATAGAATATAGATACGTCATTACTACGGGGTTTAGAGCTCATGGTTCTATTCAGATGCAAGTCTCTTAAATCAATAGGCAGCACGAAACGACAAAGGACAAGATATGTAAATATCTGGATGGTGCAAGGAGACTATTACAAGTACCAGATTTAACGGTCACGTTGTTAATATTGAAGCGTCTGTCTACCTTTACACTGGTAGGGTTCTTCACAACAAAGATCAGTAGGTGTTACTCAACATGCCAATACAGCTGCGATGAGTATGCTCCGGGTCATGCAAAAGATTTTCTACAATGCAGTTGGACAACCCGTTCAAGTTGAGGAGATGGGCTGGCTCATCTAGAGTCATCAGAGCACGACCAAGAGACCCCGAGACTGGATGACAATTTGTTGTTGTGTTGACACTACGGGCGTTGTAGATATCACCGTAAAAGATCTGATATCCGTGACGCAGAAGACCGGCATTCCGGGCAAGGGGATCGTGGAGACCAAGTGCTCATTGAAACTCTGGTGCACAGATCAGATGGAGCAACCCATGGAACGACCATTTACAGATATGATAGCTAGGATCGCATTACCGAGCAAAAGGATTCCTTAGACCGCAGCACGAATTACACCCGCGATGGATTTGATCGAGTCGTTGAGACGCTGGGGCCCGATGGCAGCATCTCTATTACTTACTACGAGAATTATATTTGCCGTATACCCGCTTCCGAATTATAAATAGAATGCCGTTTCCGAAGTTCGTATCGCGACCCTTGTGATCGGCATTAATGGCTATCTAACTTTGGTTAGCCTAGCAACTATTGCTCTTCAATCATGTTAAATATGTATCCGATTATCCGGAACCCCGCTTCCTCACAGCAGCGTTGTAATGATTGCGGGACTTCTTGTAATACGAGAAACCAAATATGCAAGGTTCGGATGATGCGGAGTAGACTCAGTTTGTACAGATATAACAAATCTATAAACAGAGAATGATACAATCCAGTATCCTCGACACACAAGTTCTGGGTGACGGCTGCCAAGGTCTCTGAAAGCAGACTTTCAATATGCATCCACTTCCCTTATTGCTTTTGACTACTCGAGTAATAGCCGGCACAATTGAGTTAGCCTCGAGAGCGAGTGTATCCGACAATGACTCTGCCTATTCTGAGTCGGCCAGTTCTGCTCTTACACCACTCGGATATGCTGCAGCCTTTGTTAACACTGATATACTGGCCAGTCGAGATGGTTATCTAGAAATTTTCACATTGGTCGACTACGACGTTGATACGTGTGCGGAACGGTGTAGCGACAACAAAGAATGTGTTGCTTTCAATATCTACTTCAAGCCGGATCACCCCGAAACTTCGTCAAACGATAAGACAGCGGTCATCGAGTGTGCTCTATGGTCTAAGCCACTAAGTCTCCCGGACACAGAGATTGGCAGCGATGTTGTTGCCGGAAGTAATGCTTACAATCAAGAAAAGGCTCTAGCTGGTCCAGGGCCCGGATCAGTACAGACACTCCCAATCAAGTTTCCTAGCGTGACGCAACTTGGGGATACTTATTATTCCGTGGAGCTGACGTGCGATGGCCAAAGGATGCCTGTTATGCTTGATACTGGCTCCGCTGATCTGTTTCTTGTATCCAACGAGTGCCCGAATACGCCCACTAGTGGATGTTACAACAGCACGCCTTTCGAGATTCAGGTAAAAGTTCCTCTCTGAGAACAAGAAATCGTGTTTATATGGCTGGTAACCAGCAAGCTTACATATATATAGCCAACGACAAACATGCCAGTGAATCAAAGTTTCTTTACAATTGTTGGGACTGGGCCGGTTTTTGGCAATCAGTCTATCTTGGATGTCGAATTTGGCACAAAGGACATTATTGCAAGAGACTTGGGTGTCGGTAAGCTATCTGCTTGTTCTTTATACTGAGAAAAAGTATAAAATAACGAAATCTGATATGTAATGAAATAGGTCTTGTTTATAACGCTGTGCAGATGGAGTTTCAGAATGGAAGCTTTTCTGGAATACTAGGCATGGGTCTCCGAAATGTTTCTCGGCAGTTCTACCAGTATCAAAACTTACCACCATTCGATACCTTGGTTGCACAAGAAAGGGTACTTGCACCCAAGTTCTCAACAGTATTCCCGCGATATGCAGATCCAAACAGTCCTAAAGAAGGCCGTTTGACTATAGGTGGCATTGACAAGGAAGCCTCGAACGGACGGAAGATAACATACAGCGATATAGTAGACAGCCCCAAGTAAGTATTCTCTGTATGTCTTGAAGAAAATGACTTGCTAAATATTATTAGTTATAATTATCCAGGGACCCCTCCGGCACCGCAGCTCTGGTCTATTACGGTTGATGGGATGAGGTTTAACGGTAGAAACATTTCCCTACCGGCAAGTGGTACGCCTTCTAGCATCTCCCAGTTGCTGAAAGCCAGCATTAATGCGAAGTAGGTATTGTTTCAGGATCGCCGTATATTGCAGCTATAGACAGTGGGACGTCATTTATGGCCGTTGGTGGCACGGTGTTCGACCAGATCGCAAACAACATCATTGGCCCATCGCAATCATCGGGTCTGGTTGTCTCATTCGATTGCTCAAAACCACAGCATTTGGAGATCAAAATAAATGGCCAATGGATTGATATCAATCCCCTCGACTTGATCACCCCAGGAGACTGGTTTATCCTAAATGGAACACAAATGTGAGCATGCACTATACAATGACGACTGACCAGGCCTAACATTGCTTCAGGTGTCGGGCTTCTGTCAACGCGCAGAGCCTTTCATTGGCTGACTCAATATTGGGCGTTCCATTTCTCCGTAACGTTTTGGCAGTTTTTGACTACGTGTCAGATGATATGTACTCCGTACAACCGAGGATTGGCATCGCTCCTTTGACAAATTGGTCCTTGGCTTTGGAGCAATATAAATTGTCGCACAAGGCGAGAGTTGGCCCGCAAATACCTTTTCCTGGCTTCTAAGACCTCAGAAAAGGGTCAACATCAGAGACTATAGTTCGCTAAGATTGATCGGGCCATAAACAAATTGAGACCTAGAGGTTAACTTGGCATGAAACTGTTCACTTAATATTCACCTATATATATATATTACATTCCTTTAATATCTATCTTAATTATTAAATTAAATAATAGAAGGATATATTAACTCTTATTTAAATATTTTTAATATTAAAGTACTGGATTTTATCTTTTAATAAAAGCTATCAATACAGCGATTAATATACTATCTTATAATACTATAATATAAGGAAATTAAATTGTAACTGTATATAACTACCTGTTTATAAACTGAAAGATTAAGATATAAATAATATAGACTATAGTTTTTAAAATAATATAAAGTAATAATTAAGCTTATTATTATTAAGTTAAACTTAAAAAATAACTTATATACTACTTATAACTAATTTATATTATTATTAATTTGAAGTGTTTATTTAACTTAAATAACGCCCTAATAAAAGACTAAGTACTAATTCTATTATAATCTATAGTAGATACTGAATAGCTCTATAAGGGATAACCATCTGGCCGAAAAGTTGCAATAGAGCTTCTGAAACGATCAACGTTCGCACCGAGATTAAAGCTCCTCTGACCACTTCTGTCATCGACCCAGACCGTATTGTCACGAATATGAAGACTCAGTGACTCTTCAAAGCCTTGATGAATCATGATCTCACACACGCATTTCAGAGTTCGATCCGTCGGATGCGCGGTAGCCCCAAGACCAGTAGCAGTACCCTCATCAGTATACGTAGGGTCAGCAAACATGCCTGTAGCTGCTTTCACAAACGCTGGCTGTTGCTTCAAAACCCTATATAGCCTCTCTTGATCATAGCCTTCAGTTTTCTCAAGCCGATGGATAATGGCAGCAACGGCTTCTTGAGACAACACGAACTGATTTGCCAAGACCTCAAGTGCAGAGGCACATATGCCCTTATCGGGATTCTCCAGCAGCTCAGTAACAATCTCGATCGTTTCTGCTGGCAGTGCTGACCGGCTCCGATGCTTGAAGGCCTCTAACGCTGCCTTTTGCATCTCAGTGTCAGGGTTCTTGAGCAGCTCAGTAATAGCCTCCGCAGCTGCTGGAAGTATTTCAGACTGCATTTTCAACACGTCTAGCGCGGCATTTCGTACAGCAGATTCTGCAGCTCCAAGCTGTATTACAACAGCCTCAATAATGCCTTGGGGTAGGTCTCGCTGGACTTTAATGGCCTCTAATATTCCCCTTCGTATGCGTGGATCTAGATAGTTAACCTCTCTGGCGATGGAGTTGATTACAGATTCAGGTAATGTCTTCTGACTCATGAGGGCAATGAGAGAAGCCTCTGAGAAGTCTGTTGATGCGTCTTTAAGCCGTTGATCAAGAATCTGAACCGTCATTTGAGGTAGATCTGTTTTGCCCTCTAAAACGCTCGTGATAGCCTGATGGCTGCTCTCCGCTGTATCTTCAATCCGTCGTATAATAGCATCAATGAGGACCTTAGGCAAGACTGGCTGCTCTAAGACACCTTCAGCCGCCTGTCGGACAAGAATATCCTTATCCTTGAGTAGATCAGAAATAGTGTCAAGAACTGACTTAGGGAGTGGTGAGTGAGCGCCCAAGGCTTTCACGGCCTCTCGCCGTACATAGTCATGTGGGTCATGAAGATACCTGGTGATCTCATCAACTATTGCTTTTGGTAGCGCTTCTTGATTCTGCAAGACATTTAGAGCCGTCGTCTGCACATGCCAGACATTCTCAGATAGTAAATCAACAACGATATCAACTGTTGCCTGGGGCAACTCCGATTGCTCTGGCAGGGCTTCCAGTGCGGCCTTTTGTACCTCACGATCGGGGTCCTTGAGTCGCGCTGTCATAGCCTCAAATGTTGCTCGAGGCAAGTTTGATTGAAGTTTGAGGGCTACTAGCGCGGCCTTTTGCACTTTGGGTTCTGGGATCTCAAGTTGTGCTGTGATAGCCTCAATCGTTGCTTGAGGCAAATCTGGCTGACACCAGAGGGCTTCTAGCGCGGCCTTTTGCACTTTGGGTTCTGGGATCCCAAGTCGCGCTGTTATAGCCTCAATCGTTGCTTGAGGCAAGTTTGATCGATGCTCGAGGGCTTCCAGCGCGGCCTTTTGCACTTCTGGTTCTGGGATCTCAAGTCGTGCTGTTATAGCCTCAATCGTTACTTGAGGCAAATCTGGCTGATACCAGAGGGCTTCTAGCGCGGCCTTTTGCACTTCGGGTTCTGGAATCTCAAGTTGTGCTGTTATAGCCTCAATCGTTGCTTGAGGTAAATTTGATTGACCCTCGAGGACCTTTATCACGGCAGCTTGTATGTTGGGCTGTGAATCGTCAAGATGTTCTGTGATAGCTAGAAGAAGTTCAGTGCAAGATATTGACTGATATCGTAGCGATTCCAATATAGCATCTTGAGCACCAGGCTCTAGCCTCTTGAGGTGCTTGATAATAGCATCAATCGCTGATTGGCATAATGCTGACTGTGTTGCCAAGAGCACCAATGCAGCTTCTTGTATATCATAATTTGGATCTTGAAGCTGCTTTAAAATAACCCTCATATTTGTTAGAGTTAACGATGACTGATTCCTCAGTGATTCTAGCGCAGCCTTTCGTAAATCAGGATCTGTCTCTTTTTCGAGCTTCTTGGTGATGGCCTCGATATTGGCTGCGGGTAATTGAGCATCATAATACCGGAGAGCTTTTAGCACGGCCATTTGTATGTTGGGATCTTGATCGTCAAGCTGCTCAGTAATAACTTCGATGACAACTTCAGGTAAGACTTGATGGAGGTAACGGTCCTTGATCCTGTGATCTTGGGTCTCAGTGCTCATTAGCCACTTGACGAAAGCCTTAGCAAACGGCTTGCGCATTGTTGACAGACCATAGAAGACACCACCGACCCGGCCTCCACGCCGGATTGAAATCATGCGTTTCGCGAAGCTTTCAACAAGAGCATCGATATGCTCATCAGACAAAATAGACTGATTTATCAGTATGTCCATGATCCGGTTATGGTGGTATTCATTGCCGCGCAGAAGTCCAAGAAGGATATGAACATGTGTTTCTCGTAATGTAGACACTTGTTCCAAGGCTGCTATGGCGCTATAAGTCAATTCCGAATCGTCTTGTCCAATGAACGATATTATAATTCCTAACAGTTCCTGGGACAAGACCCGTTTCCTGACCGATCGGAGGATAATGCATTTGGCTTTTACTTGTCCTTGTTGAAGTGCAATTTGCAGTGAACTATCGGGAAACTCGGCTTCAATGGCCAGGCTAGTACTTTCTTTGAGATCACATTCAAACAGAAGCCAATCCGATAAGGTTTTCTCGAGACGGGCTCGGTAGGGCTGAGGTTCGGTTTCAGAACGTGGGATTTCGCTTAAGCAGTGCATAATCAATCGTTGATGAGAGGGTCCTAAAAGATCCAACGGTTCTTCTTCAATCGCCTCGAGTAGTTCAAACCCCTGACCTTGTTCATGTAATAGGCCAGCCACGAAGTGCCACATAATGTTGTATCGCCCATCGTACTTGTGAGATTGCAGAAATTTTAGAGGGCAAGTCGTGCTGATTTTCTTCTCACCAAACACTGTATACTTCATAATTCGCTCTTTCCAATGTCTCACGAAATATCGTGCTGCAAAGTACTCCTGAAAGGTCAAGTGTATGAAGTAGTAGAGTTGATAGTTTGGCCGGGCTGATGGGTCTGAGGTCCGCAGAAACGAGAGGCAGGGCAGGCTATCGTCTAGGTTCAGAAGGAGGTTGGAATGGTCATTAGCAATGTTTCTGTCACTTTGGCTGAACTCTATCCGATCGGTTGCCAGGCCAGAAAAGCCTAGGTACTCCAAGAACTGCAACTGTTCTTTAACCTCCTTTTCGATCTGCCTTTGGCCGGCGGTACGTAAAGATTGGGTCTCGACTTTTGCAAGTCTCTCAGCATCCTTCTTCCACAAGCTCGTCTGGATAGCTTGATAGAGTGTCGTCATTGTGTCTGGATTCTCAGTTCTGTCAGACTTGATGTCGTCCCAGCAGTAGCAGAAAGCATCCAGCTGTATCGGTATCCGAACAAGGCCTCGAACTAGCTCATGGCTCTCGGGAAATCCCTTGAGCTCATGCACATTCTTCTTGTGAACCTTCTCTATGTAGTCGTCCATCTGCTCCGGTTTGAATCCGATAGTCTCTAGCTCAAGGTCAACTTTGACGCCATGCGGAAGACTCGCAGATGGCCGCGACATGATAATCACGTTGGGCTGCTTGACTAGGTCTAAGAGAAAGACGGACATATCACCAGACCGACTCAGATTAACGACTTCATCCCAACCGTCGAGGATGAAAAGTGTTCGATTGTGCTTCAGTGCCTTGTGTAATTCTCGGGAGAAGAGCTTGATACCACCAACCCCATACTCGTTCGAAGAATGGAAAAACTCATGGTCGAAGAGCTTACTGAGATTATATCCCGCACTTGGCCGCTGTTTCAAATTTCGAAGAGGAATCCAGAGCGCACGGTCGAACAAGCTGTTCCACATACCATTTCTCATGAAATCATGGATCATCTTCCTGCACAAAGTGGTCTTACCGATGCCGGCACGTCCACGGATCAGAATCCTTCGAGGCAAGATGTGGGTACCATCAGAGTTTTTGCGCTGGTCGAAAATCTTTGTCAAGCTAATCTCGTCTTGGCGTGCTGCCACCTCGAGCTTTTGTCGCCCGAGAAGCGTGAAGGGCGACAACGAACCTTTCTCATCCAGGCGGTCTGGACCAGAAACACCCCTCTCAGGCTGCTTCACAATGGCGAGGTTGATGTAGGATTGATGCTTGTCGACAGGGTCTCCCGAGAGCCGCTCAACTTTGAGCCTGTCTTCGGTGTAGCATCTTTCACGTATCCAAGCGTCGGCTTGTTCAAGAAGTGTCCCAGTCCGTATCACATCGAGAAAGCCTCGTACAGTCTCCACAACCTGTCGGTAGTCTGCCTCCTCGGCGCAAAATTTATTCATCAGTATATGGGGCCGGTCGAGAGCAAGTCGGATTGGGACGCAGTCCAGTGTTGCAGAATCCATGTTGACGAGCTAACGAATAGATTAACACAACGAATAGTTGGCAGTTGTTTGTGTTCTCTCACCAGTTTCCTTTCATAAGGCAACAACCGCGAAAGGAATGGAACCTTGGCTGTGAGGAGTGTGTACCGTTTTTCATAGAAAGTAGCCACTTTAAAGTCCTCCTCACGGTGCTTGACGCAAAGTCGTGAGAACTCGCATACAAGATGCACAAGTTTAGACTCCGGTGCCTTGACCCAATCAAGCAGCCCAGTTAATCGTTGGTTTCGGATGGATGCCAAAGCGCTTAGACCTGGCTGTGCCCAAACTGCTATGTCTTCAAATGAAGTGCCTCGGAATGGCGTTGCGAGGAAGATGATTCCACGCGTGGCTTCTTGAATAGCCGTGTAACTGTCCTTTGCCATAACAAGAGTCTGCATTAGGATGACTCCTCCGAGACATGAGGCGATGAAGAAAAGTTTTCGATCTCTATTTGAGACCAAGCCAAGAAGGCCATGAAGGAGGGATGCGGCAAGCTCTTCGATTCCAAAAGGCACCGAGTCGTTCATTTCAAACATGGCAGCGGGCCAGTTGCATGTATAGATGCGAGTACCTGGAACCTCTCTGGAAAGCATATTTCCGTCGACCAGCCAGTTGACCTGTTGCCCATCTGGCGTCTTGTATGCCCAGGTCTCGGGCGACTTTGTATCAAGACCATGAATGGCAATGATGTCGATACCCGTGTCTGTTTCAGGTGTGATCTTATCAGGCGGGTCAACGAGGTTGAATTCAACGGCGCGCGGTCGGTTGACGGCTTGCGTTCGAGATGTCGTAGTCACAGGCATCGCAGTGATAGAAACAGGCCTACACACACAGAATTGAAGAGCGTTTTCATAGGATGGGCAGAAAAGAGTGAGAGATTCTGCTCAGAAATGGCCAATAGTAAGATATTGAATTGGTAGCAACTTAGTCACTACTACTATTCGGAAATGGCGGAGATATTTTGTGTTGGAAGATTGCTGCCTTGCCAGCGACATGCGTTGAAATGGGCAGCTATGCAAAGCCACATTACCACGCATGTGATGGGTGCGGAAGGAAGAGCGGGGGTGCAAGCCTCATACGGTACAGCCCCTGTATTTGTGTTAGCGCATACAACCCTAACTTAAGTAGATAGGGTATATATATAGTTCTAAGAAACAGCTATTAATAGACTTTTGAATACATCAATAAATAGATAATATACTAAAAGGTACTATGTATTTATTTAATTATATATATAAAGTGTTCTAAAAGTTCCTTCTTAATATATATATCTAGAGCCTCTGGAATAAAGTACCCTGCTAGCAAAAATACAGGGGCTAGAGTGTAAGCGCCTTGATGCAAAGCAGGAGGCGAGTTACTGGGTAGAAAAGTCTAGGCGGTGCGGGGTCTTGGTAGCTGAACAATCCATGGAGGTTGGCATGACTTTCTAGGATAACTGCCCGATAACAGGGTGTCGCTATGTGGTGTCTTGGGGGCCTAAAGTGCAGTGCCAGTGTATGCGTGAGAAATGGGGAAAGTGTAACGTAGCATAGTGCTAACGAGCATTTTGAGCTCGAGGTCGTGATGTAAAAGAACGGGCCAGTACACATTCAAGTATAGATGATTTTAATCTAATCTGGCATAAGTAGCAGGTTTAGGGCAGAGAGAATCAGGCGCTAAACCTGCAGTGAAAAAGTCGACGGTGGGGGTTGCACCTCGGCCTTGGTCAACGCCTTGGTTACATCTCCATTAATGTCTTTCTCTCTCACTACCCCCTAGCTTTTCGCCTGAAAATTACTGTAGCTGCCGAATTGTAGAAAAAGAAAAGTACAAGTATCAGAACAATGAACAAGGTAAGTCCTGCTGGAGCAAGAATTGAAAATACCGCAAATCCATAGGACACTCTTTGAAATGCGTCGTTGTCCGCCAGTTGAGGAGTGGCCAACCCAACCTGCATGGCCGTCAACACCAAGGCAATATACACAGTCGCCGCTGCAATTGGTGCTAGATTCGCTGTGAGCAATTCTCCATATGTTTGGTAACGGAAACTATATCCTCTGAAGTAACCGTGCATCCAAAGTATTTTATTCAGGCGAGACAGCCTAAGCTCGCCATATCTATAGCGAGGGTTGACTCTGTTGTCAGCTTCGCGGTTGAGTAATTGATTCACCAAGTCAATCCATGATTCCCATGTCAAGTTCTCTGGTATCAAATGCTTTTCCTTAGCAATAAAGAAGTCGCTCTCGTACTGAATCAAGGCAGCATAGGACAGCATAAAGCCGAACGCGCTCTTGTAGAACTCATGGTCGGTCGCAAGGTTGTCTTGCCAAAATTTGTGACTTAAAAGATAACGTGGCAATGGTTTTAGGAATATTCGCCGGGAGACGTCCCAGACAAGGTGCATACCCGCATTCTCATTGAGAATAATCTCGCGGGATGAAGCTTGCTGGTAGTTTAACGGCCGAGGAGGCATCGGTCGTCCAGCAAGCCAGAGCCAGCCATGAATTTCATTCAGCTTTTCAACGCTCAAGTCGGTCTTGGCACTTGCACAGCTGGCTGAGACAATAAAAGGTTTCCTTGTGGCATTCTTCGTGCGATATGATGCGGGAAAAAGTGGTTCGAATGACAAAGGAATCTGGGCCAGAGGTAGTGCTCGGTTATGCATGGACGGCGTGGTATCTGCTCCAGCTGCTTGTTCTACTCGATCTGAGGAGAACAGGCGATAGCTGCTGTCACTGAGCTCACGGAATACTATCTCATTGAAGGGAGGATCCCACTTGGGCGGCGCCGTTAGCATTGCTTATCCATGCGCGTGATCAAGAGAGTCTTACTGCCGCCATTGTGAACAATTATATGGAGGTTGTTTCCTCAAGGAACAAACGCTGGCAATACGAGGAACAGAAAAGAATTCATCAGAGAGAAGGCAAATGTGAAGTCGCCAGGCATAAATAGGGTAGTAATGAGTTTCATAGCAATATGGGATGGTAATCACATCAAGGCCAAGTTCACTGCCTCCCGGGTGCCCGATATCGCCCTAGAGCCAATGAAGGTCTTGCTTGCTGGAATTTCTAGTCGTAAGCGAGAAGGAAGAGAGCGGGGCCCGGCTCGTTCCGCCACGGTCCGAGCGGCAGCGATCACAAAACCCCAATGGAATTAAGCCCGATTGCGCTATTTGAAAAGCCGGTGCCTGCTTTAGCTCGAAGGGCGTTTAATTAGTCGTCTAATTAGAGAGCTGTTTATACATGCTTCATTCTCTGTTGTTATAAAGTGACAAGAGCAAAAATTCTTGATTTATCACATAGCTGTATACTTAATGGTTAAGGAGGGTATAATTAAATAAAATAATTCAATAAGAGAGATTTTTAGCCAACAGCCTTTTAAATATGTTAAGACATTCCTACTTTTAATTACATAACTTAGTTTATTAATTGAATATTCTTATATATATAGCAATAATTACGCTTTTAATATGCCTCTGCCTATTATAAATATCTTTATGTTAAATTATCTGTAGGACCAATATTGAGGCTGTCGAGGCTGTCCAAACTTGGCATGCGTGCTGAGGCGTTCTGGCTGTACTCCGTAGAATGCATGTTTTGTTCACCTGAGCTTTAGCGTGCATACTCTAGTCAGATCATGTCTCAAATATTGAGGCCTCCCAATATTGCCGCACATTTTGAGGCCCATTACCGGGATTGCACATTAAATGCACAAGCATGAAAGCCTTGGCACGGCAAGAATACAAGTCAGGTGTGCATAAATCTAGATAACCATCTATCTTGCCATTTCTTAAACCTTCATCTTGCATGATGCTCCAAGTCCCAACAGCCAATCAGTCTCATTAATCCTTTGCTGCTTTATCCTAGACATTGCGTTCCGCGCTCGTATACACGTCACCAAACACATGTTCCATGCTTTCAACTTGTCTTTTCTCGTGACAGCTCAGCTCCAACTTCAGCTGCAGCCACCAAACCAGTTGTGGCTGTTAGCGCACCTCTGTTGCAGATTGTTTCGGTTCGTTTGGTTGGAAAAAGAGCGAGACTGCCGTCGGGGTAGACCAGCGCCACCTCGGGGTCGTTTTTTCCAATTTGGTCAGACCTAACGAAAGCGATGTCGATCTTAGCCCGTTTGATACGCCGGTCGCGGCCGTTGGAGTGGAAACGAAAGATCAGAACCAGCAAGGTAGTCAGGGTAGTCTCAGCTTCCTTATCACTGTATTGTCTGTGGATAATACCACGAACGGTGTAGCAATACTTTAAAGACCTTATGCTTTAATAACTATATTGTACAAATAGGAATCCTTTACGGAAGACTTTGATCTAGACTTTGTAGGTAGAACATCCACGTTTTGGAGATACTAGCTGAGGCGGCCAACGCAGTGACTTCGGCTTCTTAGTTGCCTGTTCCTCCACGGAAGACTCCTCCATGGGGCGTGATGAGAGAGCTCTTCACCCTGGCTGCCAAAGGTACCAAGATTGGAGTCTTAGAAGAGAATGGCCTGCAATTATAACGGGCGAAATGATTGATTGATCTACTGGTAGTTTTGCAACTACAGAAAATAAAAAGCTGGATATTGCACTAAGAAATAGTATGTAATACACCCTTCCATTCAAATAACGGCTGGCTCCTGGATTCTTATAAATACCGCATCTTCTTTCGACCCAAGACACTGCAATCAATTCTGGAACAAGCTACTAATAACCCAGCTAGCATCGTCAGTAAAGTCAGTACTGGCATCAAAAGCCTCCCATCCACCATCCATTGCTGCATAGCCAGTGTTATCGTAGTGTCGGAAGTACCGAGTAGGGTAACTCCAAGATCTCAAAGCGTTGGATCCTGTGCTATCAAAACTCTGCTGCGGGCACCAAGTGGCGTCCTCCGAAAATTGCTTACTTCCATCGTTCGCATTGATGTAGAGTTTGAAGCCACTATGGCGAATGAAAGAACCGGGAGTGTCGACGGACTCAAGAGATACACAGCCCAGGGCGGAGGTGACAAGACCTTGTCGAACAATCCAGCTGCCCTTTTGCTTCGTGGATGTATCGCTAGAGGAGGTAATAACTTGTGTATTAACAGTGGAGTCATCATGGGCCAAGTATCGGTTTGTGAAACCAGGAGTCGTGGCCTTGATCGTGATAGTTGACCCAAGATGGAGTGGTGGGCCATTTGCCAAAGACGTTGCAGTGAATCCAGCTTTCTCAATATTGGCCTGAACTGCATCCTCGGTCTCATCAGATGGATAGCCTGAAGTAAGAACCCCTTCGTACCAAGTTCCCTGGTCCAGGTTACCGTTGTCTCCTCCGATACCAAGAACGATCGCGCCCTGTTTGTCCATGGGATAGTAACCATTAGGGCGAGGTCCGCTATAGTAGGTAGATAGAGATTTTGCCGTTTCATTGCCCCCGCGAAGAGCCCACAAGTTTGTCGAGTTACCTTTGAGAAACGCAGTCACAAATCGTGATTCGATAGTCGGGTCTCCTGGGTTGTAGCCAGCACCTTGGCCTGAGAACAGGCCATTTTCCATATCGGCCATAACCCACGGCCCAGAACCAGCACCAGAACCCCATTCGGTGTCATCGCCGAAATAGATGGCCTCCATGGATCCGTTGTCATCGGCGTGATTCGTAGTTTCGGCGTTGCCAAAATCGAAGCAGCACTTATCATTGTAATGAGTTCCATCAAAGATGGCATACAAGCCCTCAGCCTCGTTCTTAACAGCAACGCCATTGGTTTTGTCATTCCTGTAACCAACTGTAGAATGAACAAAGATTCCATATGCTTTTTTCCCGTTTACAAGCACCGGAGCACCGTAAGCCGCCGCGAG